AATATTAATTGGCATTTAAGGAGTTAAAATATAAAACATGCTGGTGGGGTTATGCAGCAGCTAGCTGGTAAATCTGGAAGGGGGTATGCAATATGAAGACGTTTGGGGACCGGATCTAAATGCTAATCAGTATTTTCCAGTCTGGGGTTAGGAGGGCAGAAGGCTATGGCAGATATTTTGTCCAGGTAACGGGCATATAAAGGGACAAATGGTTTCCCTATCTCTTTCCTATTTCTGTTGCTGGCCCTCACGTGGCTGGCTAGAGAAGATCACATGTACATGGCTGAGGGTTCAGGCAGAAGCCTGACTTCCAAACTCTCTTTCTCTACTCACAAAACTGTTGCTAGGGACAGAAGTTACACAAAACCAGTTTAAGTGATCAAAAACTGGTTTAAACCTGTAACAGAACAGAAGTTCAGTGCACATAAACCAGTTTCAAAACAGCTGAAATGGTTTAAGATAAACCTGGCTGAATGTAGACTTAACTGCTTTAGGTCAAACCGGTTTCTGTCCCAGACCCCTTCTTGGTTCAAGTTAAATCACAGTCCCCCAGGATCCCAGGATGCTTTGCAGCCCTGGGCTGTGCTGTGTTGTCTGCTTCAGAGAGCAGGGCTAGCCCTGCCCGTCTGCTCTAGCTGGAGCAGTGAGGGCTCGCTGACAAGGGGTGGTGCTGGGAAACCCAGCTGGGGACCACAGCCAGGTCTGCGGGGGAACAGCCCCTGCCAGACTTCCCCACTAGAGTGGTGGTGGAAGGGGGCATGGGAAGGCAGGCTCAGGTGGACGGGAAGGAGGGGGTTTAAACCTCCTCTCCACTGGCACAGGACCCCAGCCAGAGTCTGCTTGGCTGCTGGCCAGCAGGAGACCAGCAGACTCCACCCCCTCACTCCTCTGGCAGAGACTGAGACAGGTGATTGATAAGGGGAGGTGGTGTAATCCTGCTCAGTTCCCTCAGGCCATGGGGAAGGGGGAAGAGGCTGGGGAACCCAGGCTGGAGGGACTGGTCCCCTGTCACCTATAAGCCCACGGCCAAGCCCAGCAGGACCAGACTGAGAGGTGGGAGGTGACCACCCAGATGACTTGTGACATAGTTTCGTAGTTTCTAGGGTCGGAAGGGACCTGAGT